CGGAGTGGAGGAACGGGGTAAGTTGGGGCATAAAGCCTGACCTCCCTGGAAGCCTTGACATTTGTCAGATACTATTACTTCACAATCAGGCAACAAGCACAGTCTGTGATAATAGGCCTGAGCCACACAAGCAGATTTGCACATGTATGGGGGCTGTCCACACAAAACAGACAAGGCAGAGGATATTGGGCCAAATATAGTTCCAGTCTGTGTTTTTGTAATAATATGTGTGTGGGGGGGGGGTCTTACGAATGTTAGCAGGGCCGTTTGGGGAAGTTTTGGTTACCAAGGAGCTGCGGGTGTGCACTCCGTGGTCTTTCGCAGCTGAGCACACTGACCCTGTGAGCACAGCCAGAGCAGACACAATGAATTGCTAATGACACTCTGGTTGACTGGCAGGGAAAGGGCCTCCATATACGCAGAGCACAATAGAGAACCTACGCAAGCACCCCATGTTTGATGTCCATGCGCATACACACACAGTGACACGCACGCACGCAAGAAAAACACTCAATCACACATATTCTGACAAGAAGTAGCGCAGGAGCAGAGTTTTGGGGGAGTCGAACCAGCAGGCTGCTTGTATCTATAGTGTTTGTTATTCCAATGTTCTTTTGTGTGATTTAAATTGTGCAAATAAAACTCTAAACTAGCAGATTTAGGGGGTTTAAGAATAGAGCTGATGCAAGATTAAATTAGTGTCAGAGTCTGTGTTTGTTTGTATGCATGCGCAGAACTAAATGCCGCAGCTGTGCGGAGGATGTTTGAAAAAGGATTTGACATCCTGACCTGCCTGCTGACTGAAGCTACCTGCTCAGCTGAGTCTTACCCATGGCCTGCTTGCCCATAGCACACTGGTATGTGTTCCTGGGCGACTGGTTGTGGTGGGGGTAGGGAATGAGGCCAGCACACACCCCAAGCAGCGTGAAGGGCTCGATCTCCAAGTGTGTTGTGTCTCTACAGAAATAAAAAAATAAAAGAGGCAGTGACACCAGAGTGTTGAATGGCATCTACAAATCACTTTTTTCTAAATATGTCAGGTGAATCAGGTGCCACTCACTTATTAATCATGTGTTCATAAAGGGCGATCTGACAGTCATTCTCCTCATTGACATCCAGGTACTCCACCAGGCCTTCGTGCAGAAAGTCTTCAAAGGTTCTGGAGTCAAGAAAAGAGCATTTCAGAAAAGATACATTGTAAATGACATGTTATATATAAAATATATATATATATAAAAATCAGCCTCACCTGTAGCCCTGTGACAGATCTTCTATGTGTTTGTTTTTCACCATCGGCTGTCCCCTCTTCACGATGATGTACGGCCTGATGGAGCACCACCACAGACCAAAGCAGAACACTGTCAAACTACTGATGAGAGACTTTTTACATATGCTTTGTTATCAAACGCTTCCACACAGGGAAGAACATTTCTGAAAAGTTACTGATTTTTGCAATTTTAACTTCACAAATTGAAAATTTGTTTCAGCAAAGAATTTAAATTTCCTGTTTAACAAAATTTAAACTAGAGCGTAATTTTTCCTAAAGCATTTCTTTTCAGTGCTTTTTTATGCCTTATGTACATGTCCAGGTCCAAACTTCCCCACCTGCAGAGTCGTCCTCCATCAGAAGAGATGTAAACGCACCGATCAGTCAAATTGGTGGAGATGGACACAAACTCGTTGATAAATCCTGCCCTGCGCATCAGTCTGAAGGTGCTGACCAGCTTAGGATGATCTCGAATCACACCGAGAATGTTACCTGTTGAAATAATACAGACAGATAGATAGAGATAAAGATTTAGAAACAATGCACATATTTAACTACAGACAATTTTACTACAAACTACTGTTAGAAGAATAAGACATACTTTTTAAAGTAAAAAAAAAATTACACTTTTCTTAGTCTGTTATTGCTATATTATTATATTATACCCATACAGGTCCTAACTTAACCTATTGACATGCATTAACACATGGAGAGATGTCAGAGCGAGGGGCTGCCACGCAGTCAGGCGTTATGAGCAGTTTGGGGTTCAGGGCCTTGCTCAAGGGCACCTTCGACAGTGCTTATGTTTGAGAGTGAACGAACAGATGTTCACTTCTTTATTTACTACCTTTGTTTGCTGCTTTTGTTTCCCAGTTTGTGCCTTAAAAAGGATTGCACCTAATGATTGTTTTCATAATTGATTAATCTGCTCATTACTTTCTCAATCTTGTCTATAAAATGCCCATCAGAGCTCAATGTGACGTCTTCAAATGACTTGTTTTGTCCAACCAACAGTCTCAAATTCAAATATTTTAACTACCATAATATCAGACAAAGAAAAGCAGCACATGTTAACATTTGAGAAACAGGAAATGTCTGGTGTTTTTGCTTGAACAATATACAACCATAATCATATGTCCATGCATTTTGAAGATCAACTAATAACTTCAGGTCTACTATAAAGATAGATCAAAAAGTTGTAACAGATAATTAAAGTTCCTGTGGGAATAATAAACAGTGGGCAGATTCTACTAAATTCTGACACAAAAACTCCACAACCTTTACGAAAAGGAGAAACAGCATGTATAGACAGTAGAGTACTGTGAAAACAGAGCTCAAACTGCTTGCCGGGGTTTGTTCATATCAAGTCTGACAGACAAATGACTGGAGAACAGTGGAAACACTGTGCTCTGCCTCTGTGTGAGGGCACATTTGCAGTGAACACACTCTGAAGGGCTTTGACACCTGCTGCTACCAACTAATTAAATGGTATGGCAGCTAATATAATTTGACAGTTATCAGTGGCGAGACAAACATATACAGTAATTAAGCGGCCAAGTTCTGACTCAAGAATAATACCTACTGCTGCCATTAAATTAACGACTTATCGGCCTCCCTGCAAAATACAACATTGCCTTCTGTAAACTAAACAGAATATTTTCCCTTGATGTTCATAAGCAAAGCATTCAAAACGGGGAGGATTAGACTTTCTTTTAAAGTGATCTAAAGCTGCTGCATCCAGTGTTAATTCTCCGGTGTTTATATTAGGGACTACTGGTTCGGAGGAGTTTTACCATTGAGGAAGACGAGGAAGACGCTCGGGTAGGAGAGCTCCTCTCCACAGAGCAGGTTGACGTCTTCTACTCCCAGGTTGAAGGCCAGCTTGATGATCGGACCGTCCTCCATGTCGGTGGTGATGTGGGTCATCAGAGCCAAGTTCTTCACCAGACCGCAGGCCTACAAACAATGATTTAAACCACGTACAGAAATGATGTTACGTTTCTTTGTATTTATACTGAATGAGGTTATACTCCACGCAAGAATGCCGCACCACCGGACTTTGTGAAAACCACACCAAAACAATCCACAACAATAGTTAAGTGGACATCAAATAGCTGTGCTCTACAACAAGAGTTATAACACTGTAACATGTGGCTCATTCCAGCTCTGTATAGGCCTACCTGTAATTAACTTCCTGTTTAGTGGTACAAGTCCAAGCTTTTGACAGACTTGATTTATATCTGAAGGGTCATAAAAACGTGTTTTAACCCATCCTCTGAAGATGGTGAAACATGTTAGTCAACAGAAAGCAGAGAGTTTCTAACCTGTAGATAACAAACTACATTGTCTAATTACATTAACTGAAACAAAACACTGAATATTTTAGAGACAGGAAGACCGTGTCCCAGTCAAAGCAGAGTAAATCATAGTCCAAGGGGTTTATAAGAGTGCTAAAAGTCAAATTTTCCCCCTACTAATTTCTATCTGATGATAAAATGGATACATAATATTTTTCCATAACTGTCAGTGCCAAAATGAAGAGTTAAGCCGTCTTTAAAGTCCTCTCTTCTTTTCACCAGCTGCTATTATTTGTTTTACTTTACTATTTAAATTCCCAGGGACGATGTGTTAGTATAACCTGCTCCCTGGTCAGGTGTGGCTGCTGCAGCTCACTCACCTCTCCCTCAGGAGTGTCAGACGGACACAGCATGCCCCACTGTGATGGCTGCAGGGAGCGCGGCCCACTGACTTTCCTGGTCTTCTCAAACTGGGAGGAGATCCTGGTCATCATGCCGAGAGCCGAAATGTAGGAGAGACGAGACAGGACCTGGGTGACACCCTGGCGGTCCATCTTGAATCTCTTCAGAGACCAGTTACCCTGTGGACAGGAAGGTCACTATTCTTCATTATCCTGCCTATTAATACATTTTCATGAACAAAGAGTGAAAAATAAAGATTTATGATTATTATATTAATAAATAGGGGTGTTATGAGACACTTAGCTCACGAGAGGAGACACAATATTGGGTTCACGAGATCCAGATGAGATTTTAACACTATTTTTAAGAAATCTTTAATGCTGAATTCTAGAAATATTTTGAGCATTAAACACTTAATTTCCTGCATTCTGTGAATGTTTTTACACCAATTTCTGCATTATTAAGTAAATGGAACACAAAATTCATGTCAGATACTTTTTCTCCTGTAGATCCTTTTCTCATGTAATATCATCCCTGCTGAGTCAGCACACATGCAGGCATGATTTAGTCTTCCCTCATCTTTTGAGTCTTTTGCTTGGGGACGTAACCTCTTTAAATGTGCAGGTGGCACCTTTTCACCTCAATGATAAATTAATTAATTTTAATTCAGTTTTAACTCGTGGACTTCAATAGCTCCTGTGTCTCAGCAGATTTTCTGCTCATGTTCCAAACCTTTCAGCACATTTAAAATCTATCCCACATCACTGTGTTCTCGGACATCATTTCATGATAATTTTTAGAAGTCTACCTACCCTTTACTCTGCTGAACATTACGTTATAGCTCCGCTGGTAGACCAACACCGTTTTGGACTGCATGTTAAGATGACCGACAAGGAAATAAAACAAACTGAAAACACTTGTGATCAAGCAGATATCTCACCACAAATCCACATACACATTAACTTTAGCACCTCCGCTAAAGTGCAGCTCACGGTCCCAAAAAGAGCAAGGTTGCGCTTCACTTTTTAGATGTTTATATTGCAAAGCTCTGCCACCTACGTTAGCATTTGGTCACAGTACGAGAGTGGGAGTGTGTGTGGTTAAGAAGGTGTAAAAAATGTCAGTTTCTTGAGTCTCGTGAGACAGCTTTTAACCTGACAAAAAATGTCTTAAGAAAAGTATGCCGGTGCTTTCAAAGCTTTTGGATTGGAGGGTTATGCATGATTAAATTTCTACTGACTTTTAAAAATGCGTGTATGAGTGTCCAGTTGCCCTCGACTTTAACCTTTTTTGGATAACTATGACCTGGATGAATCTTCACAGACATCTTCTGAGGTCTGTTTCAATACAGATCACTTACTATTGTCTGCATTGTGTACTGAAAAAAACATTGTACATCAATGTCCAAATAAAACAAATCTAACCATCAAACAGTGGTAGAAGACATGATAAATAATAATAATAATAATAATAATAATAATAATAATAGCAGCAATAGTGCCGATTCCTCAATTTTACAATTACTTTTTTTTGCTTTTCTTCCTCTACAGATTGTGTTGGGGTAACTAGGTAACCATTCAAACTATCCTGGTACTTTACTTCCTCCTGCTACTAAAGTTTGATTAGTTATAACTTTATTCTTTATCAAAAGTAGCTCATGAGAGTAATTTTAAGTAAATCTCCAATCAAATCGAAAAAAAGTGATGGTTAATAGGTAAATTAGACTATGAGTAATTTAATTCTAAAACTACAATCAGGGTACACTTACCGAGCTATTCCCACAGCCTTCTTCAGCTGGAATATATAAGTAAGTTAACCTTGAGTTTAGAGTCTTTAATTACATTATACATTAATTAAGAAAAATAAGTAAAAAGTTTTATTTAAAAAAAAATGAAGGTTTATGTCCAAGTTTGTAAAAGTAAATGTCTGTTGTAAACATTTCTATTTACTTGTTTACCTCCCAACACTGTCCAGAGAGACAGAGCTAAAGGAAACAGCTGGCAGGGAGATTCTTCTGAAGGTCAGATGATTGTTGGCGTAAGGATTTGTACCAGGTTCCTCTGGGGGAGAGGTGTATACTTTCTATTTAATTATTTCTTTAAATCTATGGTCTCCGACTTGCACGCACTCACCGTTGATATGGCATTGACCATGCCGTTGGTGATCTGATCTTGCCGCATGTGCTTCACCACATCAAACTGAGCAGCTCTCTGCTTGGGGATGATCTGGTCAGCGATTTTCTTCAATTCAGAATTGAACTTCTTAAACAGATCTTCAAACAGCAGAGACAGAAGCTAGAAAGGGCACAGAGAGAGACCATCATCAGTAAGAATGTTTTTTGTACTATTCACTTGTCAAGTCTCCAAACTAGCTGTAAGAACAGTCATTTCAGCGACAGAGTCATCAGTGTATCTTCGCAGAGTCTCAGATGTCCTGGCACCCTATATCTGTTCCTGCCTCCAATCAGCGGCAAGGCGCGTTAACAGTCAGAATTAATAACCAGGTGTGTCGGCTCAGTGATAAGCCTGACCTGGCCTGTGTCCCAGGTCCCTGTCCTCCTCCACCGGGCCTACAGGAGGCAACCTCTCACAGCCCCCACACACCCTGAGCATTAGCATACATCAAAACAAACAGGCAGCGCTGCTCAAAATTAATAAAGAAATTAAGCTTCCGTTGCACAGCCAGGCCAATTAGTTGAATGTCAGGGAACCATAATTGGAGAGTGAGGAGATTGCTGGCGTTGTTAGTGTGTAAGCCCCCTATTGAAATAGGGCTCTGTGCCCCTCCCTCCTCCCATCTCCTGCTCCTTATACAGAGCAGGTTGGGGGGGAAATTAAAGGCCTTAAGACAGCAGTAATTACATTATCAGAGCCGGGCCTGCGGATTAGCTCAATCGCTCCAGTCAAGGCAGCAATTCTATTGTCACGGTGCTGAAAAATCCCCGTGCTTCCACAGCCTCTGGATTTTGGTGCCACCGCATATCTCTCCTGACAAAGCCAGGCTGAAATACACGGGGGTGGGGGGGTGAAAACAAAACAGGGCAAAACAAAGCTGACGGAAAATAATGAGCATCTTATTAAAAGAAGGAGGCAAGAACAAAGATGCAGGTGAGAGATCAGGCCTGGAGCAGCCGCTGTCCTCTGCTCCAGCGCTGTGATCCATTCTCACTAAAGCATGTGAGCATTATTGGTACTTTTCTATGCATGCATTATTAATAAGCATCAAGCCTGTTTTGTTTTCTTGTGGCTCTATGAGTAAAGAAAAGGAAGTAAACACATTTCAGTGGACAGAAATTAATGAAATGAATAAACACCCAGGTCAACAGGGTGCCTTTTAATGTCAGAACTGAAGTCTGGCTCATTTATAAATACCTGTTGATCAGCTGACAAAGTAACAAAAACAGAATCTAATGGACCTGCATGTTTGTCACATACTGCGAAATATAAGAAGACTTAATGGCAGATTAAACATGGCATTATACAAGCAGTCAATGGGACCACATGGAGGACAGGTGCATAGAGGTTTACCTGTCCAGCCAGCTCAAGACGTTTGTTGCCATAGTAATCTCTGTCGTCCACCTTGTTGTCCCCCTGAGCCAGGATCACCCTCCGCACCATCACAGCCAGGTAAATACACTTAGCCCGAAAGTTAAACTCTTTGACCTACAGACAAAACATAAAATTATTATTTTTTATGTGGAATATTATTTGGAGGAGTATAATCAATGATTCCCATCTGTCTGTTAACGTACCGGCACATGTGTGAGGATAAGAGACGCCAAAAGCTCTCTGGCCTCCTCCATCTTGGTCTTCTTAGGGCCTCCCCACATGCGCTGTCTCCGCACTTTATTCCCGAGGTACCTCAGAGCCTGAAACACAGTGCAGCAGATGCAGCAGAGAGAGCAGACAACAAGGAGAGCAGAGTATTGGCGCCAATGTCATACCGGAGTTTCGAAACCCAATACAAAAACAATAATAGTTTTTATTCTTAGTTTGGGGATTACAAACATTCTTTTACAAAACACATTCAACATTTTACCCTCTCTCCCCACCCACCCACCTGCACTCCCAACCAATCAAACATCAACAAAAACAAGTCAATAAAACATAATTATTTAATAAATTAAAATGGAACCACTAGGGGAGGGAAGGGGTTTGGGGTAATCAGCCATCTTGCAAAATAAACAACACTGCAGTTATTAAAGTTAGTAAAATATAGTGTAAAAATGAGATGATTCATTTTTCCATGATTCTGACAAAAATATTTTGGATTTTTTGACTCCAGACAGCAGAAAAGTGACAGATAATGAGGAGAAGGAGAGGAGGGAGGACCAACTGAGACCCCTCTGCTCCTCCTCAGCTGCTGCATTTAAAGGCATGTGGTGTAAGTGTGTGTTTGAAGTTAATGTTATTGTAAAATGATTAATATGTGTGGATTTTTTGAGAAGAGGAGCACAGAAAATGCATGAGAGGCATCAGATTGTGGGAGGTCAAGTA